GAGGGGTGGGGTACAGAAAGAGTCGGGGGGCTTCAGGATGGGGGGGGCTGCAAGGAGCATCAGGGGGATGGCGGGGCTGCGGGAAGCGCCAGGGGGATGCGGGGAGGGCCGGGGGAGCTCGGGGGGCTCCGGGGTGGGCTCGGGGGGCTCCGGGGGTCGCGGGGGGCTCCGGGGGTCGCGGGAGCGCTCCGGGACCCCCGCCCCCCGCCCCGGCCCCGCGCATGCGCCGTGCACTCACCGAGCCGGGGCTCCGCCGCGCCGGCCCCGCCCCCCTGCTCGCCGCCTATTGGTCATGCCGCCGGCGCAGCTCGCTGGTGATTGGTTGAGCCGCCTGCCACTCACGTAGGGCGGGATTTGGTCTTAAAGGGGCCGCGCAGGAGCGTGGCGCAGAGTTAATTAGGAGGGGTTAATTAGGTGGTGGGGATTGTGCGCGGGGTCGTCGCATGGGGGCGATCGCCTCTTGGTCATGGTCCAGTGCCCTTTGCCCCGTGCTCATTGCCCGGTGTAAATTAATTGCCCCGTGCCTATTGCCCGGTGTTAATTAATTGCCCCGTGCCCATTGCCCCCTGACTCCAATGGGATGGGGAATGAAGGAAGAGCAGCCCTGGCCCTGAAAAGGGGGTGAAGGGAGAGCCCCCCGACCCCAAATGGGTTGGAGGGAGGACCCCTCTGACCCCAATGTGATGACAAGGGGGTGAAAGGAGAGCACCCTGACCCCAATGAGATGGGGGGGAATGAAGGGACAGCACCCCTGAACCCCAATAGGATGGAGGGGGGTGAAGGGAGAGCCCCCCTGACCTCGATGGGATGGAGGGAGAACCCCCCTGACTCCAATGGGATGAAAAAGGGGTGAAGGGACAGCACCCCTGACCCCAAAGGGATGGGGGGGAATGAAGGGACAGCCCCCCTGAGCCCAATGGGATGGAAAGGGGTGAGGGGAGAGCCCCCCTGACCCCAATGGGATGAAGGGAGAGCACCCCGAACCTCACTGGGATGAAAAGGGGGTGAAGGGAGAGCCCCCCTGACCCCAGTGGGTTGGGGGTGGGGTGAAGGGAGAGCACCCTGACCCAAATGGGATGGGGGGGAATGAAGGGGGAGCACCCCTGAACCCAAATAGGATGGAGAGGGGTGAAGAGCCCCCCTGACCCCAGTGGGATGAAAAGGGGGTGAAGGGAGAGACCCCCGACCCCAATGGGATGAAGGGAGAGCACCCCGAACCTCACAGGGATGAAGTGAGACCCCGGGGTGGGCGCTGGGGGTGCCCCTGGAGCACCCCCGACCTCCTTGGCACGGAGTGGGGCACAAAGGGAGACCCCGGGGTGGGCGCTG